GAAAACCCGGGGAAAATTCGGAAAATTGATGTAACGTAAGTTATTCGTTAACTACGGCCCCTGTTCTCCCGGGTGTGGGGAGCGCGTCGTTACGGGCGCCGTTCCCTCTGTGTTGCCTTCCCGCGGACGTGAACGTAGTTTGTTTCGTTTGCATATAAAGCGCGTATCCGTTTCTTTTCGGAAAATGTTCGGCGCATGTTACTACTACAACATGCACCTCTGAATAATTCAAACAAAGGATTAAGCGTCGCGCATCCAGCGCCGCGCCGCCGGATGTCTAACCGATGTTAAGAACGGCATTCGACATCCCGGGCACATTCGGGTCCTCGTTTAAATTTTACGGAGCCGGGAAAGTTACATTAAACTAGGGATCCGCGCCGAAATATTTTGGTATGCGAGACGCGACGTGCCTGTAAGTCTTGAAGCGCGCCGCCCACACAGGCGAAATTGTAATTAAGTGAAACACACACCGAGCGTAATCGGCCGCGTAAAGCTACGCCGAGGAACAATCGTATAATCGACGAGGAGAGCAGGTTTTCTTTTCAATTTTGCGGAATCTCGAGATCTCAAGCATCCACAGAAAAAAGTTCCGGGTCCGATGCACTTGAATGTATCATAAAATAGGATCTATATAGCGCCAATCGTGTTTATTGTAGAGAAAGGAATATTTTAATCTTAGATGAAAAATTCTAAAATCTCGAATCGTCTTTTGTCGAATATCGCGGTGCCAACTTCGTGCTTTGCAAGGTGGAGGGAAAATTTAATCTAAACGCAAGAACATATAAACTTACATTTATGCACTGACAAAAAATTATTTTTTAAAAGAAGTAAATAGATTTACTTAAAATTATTTTTTTTACCGAAGTAAATCTTTTTTCTATTTAAATAAAAATATCAAATTTCAAGTAAATCGGTGTATTATCAGTGTATAAGTTACTCTTGTCTCAACATAGTAAGTCAATCTTTTTCAATTCGATAGAGGAGAATATTATTAATTTGATTTTGATTTGTCTTATTTTTAAACTAAAATTGATGTTGCGAGGACTGTAAATGCGTCAAGAATACTTTTCGTCTCGTTAACAGAAATCCTTTCTGAGGATGCGTCGAGAGAGAAATTAGACGTTCGGCGTCGAATCTCCCTCGGTCTAGCCGGCGAATGAAGGATTTTTAGAAAATCAGGATCGTTTACCGTTTCGCATGAATAATTTATTCGCTTTCTGTTTAAACAAAGTACAGAAAGGTCGGGGCTCTGTTTGCGTTAACCTTGCGCGACGAACGCACGAGAGAGCTAAGTGAATACACAATGGCAACGAGGCGAATGACTAGTGAATATGACGCCTGGTTGGCCTTCCACGGCGTACTCCGCACACGGTGTGCCCTAGTGATAGCAAAAGTGGAAACTGGTATGATAATGAGTTGCAAACGGTACAAACCTCCTCGTGTGTCGCTTAAGGGGCTCGTACAGCGAACGGAGGCCGGGCAAATTACCGGGATATAAAGGCCAATTTAACTCGTAAGGCGATTTAAAGGTCAATCGCTATCTAATCATCGAAAATTACACGCTTAAATTCGCTACCGACTCGACGGCAGATCGTACGATGTGCTTGCGTCAGATATTCGTTTCTTCGAATCGATGCAAAAAATTCCATTAACAAGAAAAAAACTTGGCAGTTTTATTAAACGATAGAAAGTGGAAATTATACATAGGCGAACTTCGATACGAGGGCGCAGATTAATTTGATATCGCGCAGTCCGTTTTGTTTCTGCTAAAGTTGAGCGAGTTCTCTCTCTCTCTCTCTCTCTCTTTTTTTCTTCATCATCCGCCGTACACTTTCTGATTTCGGGGTCTCGATTTCTTACAGGAGCGAGGCTACATTGCTGCGGGGAAAAAAAGAAAACGTCCGTGGCCTTTATAACGGGCTAATAATAGGTGCACCCGTGTAATTTGCCTCGTCACTTTTCTGCTTCTCCCGTACCCTCCTCCTTGCTCACATTAGTGATCGGCAGATTGCACCTGCGCTTTTTTCGCGCTCGTGAAAATAATCGGATCTGCTAATAGCGCGGCATTTGCGAAAGGAACAAAAAAGAGAGAGAGAGAGAGCGGGGAGTCAGTTTCAATTATTTAACATCGAAGATTTTCGCCCGAAATTCTCTCCCTCTTTATAAATATCCGTATTAACAAGATTTAGCATGCGTTTTTCATCCCCATTCGTAATTTCGCGAATTAGATCGACGGCGTTAGATTAAAGCCCCGATAATTGTGAGGTGGGTAACTAACACTTATTCGCTTATAGATGACCGAGTTTTGTATCCGTGCAATCCGTCCATTTTCAATTACGTCGCTACATACAAAACCACCGATTTAGAAATTGCACTATTATGAGTCGTAAAGTATTGCGTTATCTTCGCGGCTAGAGTTGTGTCCTTGCCGGGGAAATCGTTCTCACGAGTATCGATCTCCGCGTAAAAGTGATCCGACTGTCGATCTCTTCCTCTCGATACGCGCGTACGCGCGGGCAGGCACTTGGCGGAGGAATGCCCCGACGAGGCAGCAGTACGGTGCGCCTATCTAATAATGCGTGTAACCACAGGTAATCCGAGCCACTATCGATGACTAATACCTGCCTGCTCGTTGCTCCGCTCACACCGACGCGGCGCGGGGCGACGCGAGGCGAGGCGGCGCGACGCGGCGCGACGCGACGCGACGCGACAATGTAACGTCGCGCCGCTCACGTACCGTGTGCACGTATGCGAGCGAGCGCGCACGCATAATGCATATGGACGTTCGGCGAGCGACATACACCACGAGCGAGCCGAAATCTCGTGGCACGGAGATAGGACGCCAGAGGCGGCGATATTATCAAATTATATACCTGCACTACGTATACACCGGCGGCCAATAATTCATCCATAATTCAGTTATCTAAATAGGACACCCGCGCCGCACATGCACACACGTGACTTTCGCGCTGGGCGTGTATGCGTGCGTCAAAGCGCGCTAGATGCACGAGCGTACGCGATGATCTCTGGTAGCTGCCGCAGCGAACGGCGAAAAACTGACGCGGAAATTATCCCCTATCCGTTGGCCGTCGTGGCTGTGCAGCCTCGTGACGACCGAGTCTCTATCGGGACGCTATCGCGCTGCGACGCTACACTGTAAAAAAAAGTATGTAAAATTACATACGTAATAGCGATTACGCTATTAATAACGGAAATATATAAATTTGTGCACTTTTACAAAAAAAAAGTTTTGTTACCCTTTGTTGTGTAAATACGTGCTTATGCATGATGAAAAATTACAAAAAAATTGTAAAATTTACCCAATTAAAAGCAAGCAGTTATCACTTGTTATATGAGGTAATAATTTTATCTAAAAGGTATAAATTCACGGACGTTAATAGATGGTCCCGATATTACCTGCAATAATAATTGTAATTTTACAAGTAATTTTTTGACAGCGTTTCACGGGCGGTAGTTGTGTTTAATCGTTTCGCGAATTAACTATTTGCGCGGCGATCTGTCGATTTCTTTTATTCGAGTGTTTGAAAGGATTTGAAGACGAGCAGACTTGGAAAATCTCTTCTAAAGACTGGAAAAATGTGACATTAACGAGCGAGAGCTCGCTAAAAACTAATGAATATACAAGAGATATAGATGGAAATAATACGATATATAAAATATAATTGATAATAATTGTTTTTGTTTCTCTCGTTTTTACGTCGCCGTCGGATTATTCGGGTTATTGCGATGCATAATTCGTACGTTCGTTATTTATAAAATGTCACGGCGAGATGCTGCGTAATATTAGCCGAGCCGGAAAACGCTGCACAGTGTGTCACGGCAAATCGGTTTATGATTTGTTTACACCGCGCTGATGAAAACACATGTTGTATCGCATTCATCAATAAATCACTCCCTTCATCCACGCATAAAAACGAGAATAATTGAATTAAAATTAATTAATGCTAGAAATGCGATCTCCATATGCGTCGCAAACGTCCTGCATTATTTGCATTAATTCCTAGTAATGCGATTCTATATTGCCGCTAATTGCGGTGACTCGTAAACATGTCGAATCGAGTTTACATGGATTTAATGCCATCGCGTTGACACAAATTACGGGCCTGCATTAACATAGTTTTTTACTACATAAATGCAAACTTTGCATAATTCTTCTCTTTACATTACGCGATGCACAGCGAGCATTAAGCGCTGAAAATTTTACGAGGCGGTGCTTAAAAATAAGGCGGGGTTGAAGCCGGATTTAATTTTCGTTTCTGAGCTGGTTTACGACCAGGTGTTTGAAAATTAACGAGATCACGGTGCACCTTTGCGCAGTGCCGCTCCATACAAAATTGAGAAAGTAGAGAGATAGGATAGTCAGCGCGCAACAAGAAGAAAATTCATGGACGCTCGCGCCGCGGCGGCGGCGGCGGCGAAGAAAAGCGTTCGATGGCGCGCGAGTACATAAACAGCGGCTTCCTGATATTAATATTGGCACGATGGCAGCTTCTTCGAAAGATTAATATTGGCAACGTGCCAATAAATGATCTCGGTGTTATACGCGACGTCTCGGGATGGTAGTGTGTACGCCAGACGAGAAACAGCGAGAAATTTATGTAAACCTTATCAACAAACATCGATTAGCGTAACTTAATGACGAGCACCTTCGTAAACAGATCTCTATTCTCCGCGGGTTAGGACCACTCCAAGCTAATGGCGAGACGCTCCTCGCCGGTAGGTTTTTCGGATAATTCCGATAATCGCGGCCGAGGCGTCGCCGCGAGGCGCTAATTGGACGTGGCTAGTCGCCGTTGCGTTTATTTTCACGCGAGACGCGGAATAGTTGAGCGCGAAAGAAGAGCGCGACGGCGCGCGTCCGTCGCGGCGAAAATATCCCCGGCTGAAGGGGGCGAACTAATTAGATTGCCAAGACGACACGACACGCCGCACGTCGAGAGATTCGCTAAAGAGTTCTCCGTTCCCTTTTTTGCTTTCAGGACAGCTGAAATGTCCACGGATAACCGAGCACCCGTCCGACATAATAGTCGCGAAAAATGAGCCGGTGACGTTGAACTGCAAGGCGGAGGGTAAGCCCGAACCGTTGATAGAGTGGTACAAGGACGGTGAGCTCGTGCAGACGTCGCCGGGGGACGCCAAGTCGCATCGGGTCCTGCTGCCTACGGGATCCCTGTTCTTTCTGCGGGTGATGCACGGCAAGAAGGAGCAGGACGGCGGTGTATATTGGTGCGTCGCGCGGAATAAGGCTGGATCCGTCCCGAGCAGGAACGCCACTCTCACAGTCGCAGGTAAGAGACCGTCCTTCTCTCCTCTCGTCGTCTCCTTTTTACGCCCGGATTATACCGGGTAGCGTATCAGACACCGTGAGGGAGAGCACTCGTTAAACTCGGAACGAATCCCCGTGAAACGAGCTTCTCGCCTTAAGGAATTCCACGGCTCTTCGTGTCGATCAAACAGCCCGGCGATTTCGCGCGAGAGTTGCCCAGAGAGGAGCGACAGTTAAGCCAGAATGAAAAGCTCTCTCTCTCTTTCTTTCTCGGACATCGACCGGTCGCACTCTCGCGTGAACCGACGCAGTATGGATTAGCTATTGTCGCGACACGGCTAAAGCGCTGTCCGCGCCGGGTCTGTAATTATTTTCCGCGCCAGGTGTCGATTAGCGTAATCTTGTAGCCGGCACCGAGCCGATAAGATACCTGGGGCCTTTCCTAGGGAAATCGTAATCGGCGAAATTTATCTCTTCGCGCGCGCGCGCCCGCGCTAAGTAAACTTTACGCGTCCACGGACGTGTAAAACAAAACGTTATAATCACTTAGGTGTAATACGCTCTTTGTGCATTATCGCCAAGATCGAGCGCCGGTAATTTTTCAATGTCAGTTTACAGTCCACGGGATTACTAGTTGATAAATCGGTCGAGTTAACAAATCGCTGAAGCGTAAACACAATTCACGTGTAAAAAGGGGCACGCGAGCATCAATAAAACGTAATTTTATACTCGACGGTAAAATTTCTAAATTTTATATACGACTTCATGATTTTACGCGGCGCATTTGCTTATCTCCAAGTGCCATTCGTCACAGTCCCTTTCGCGCGCGCGCTCTCCCCCCCCCCCTCCTCCCTCTCTTTTTTACGATAATCTCATACACGCGTTTCTCTTGCAATTTTTTATACAATATACGAGTAGCCAAGTAATAGAGATTAATTTCACCATGTTGCGCACCGCCGAGCTTCAGCGAGGAGGCGAAATAATATTCAGTGTCTACTTCTCGAATGCATCTTCAATCGCAGAGAAGTAATTCACCCGCTCGCGTTCTAATTAAACAATTATATACACGGAGCTACAAACGGAGCGCGGCCGCTTTTACGTTTCATAATGCGTTTATCGGCCAAATTCCGCGCCGGTGTATCTCAATCTATTCTCAGCCGTGTTAACAAGGGCGCGAATAAACTCCTCCCCCTGTCGGGCAAAAATGGTAGCATCCGCGATTCTCCCTCGCGTGTCCCCGCGCGCGAGCAAGCTCGCTCGCTCGCGAGATCGTCGAGTGTCTCGGAATGACTTCTCTCACCTTCGCGCTCGCTCGCGTGAGGCTGCGAGGCGAAGTGAACGGCGGCGGCGGCGGCGGCGGCGGCGGCGGCGGCGGCGGCGGC